AGAGACAGCCTGGACAATTCCTATTGGCTTTTGAAAGCCAATAGAATTAGACTCTATTCAAGAGAGTCTATTCTATTGGCTTTCAAAAGCCAATAGAATAAAAGGGAGTAGCACAGCTAAGGAAAAGGGGGAAAAAATGGTGGACTGCGTTGTTTGGCGACCCCCCCCCCAAATGGGGTCCCGACCCACAGGTTGAGAACCACTGAGCTAGAGCTTCATTTCTTTACTTCTATTAGCCTCTGTTCCTCAGGTTTCCTTGCTAAAAATGCTCATTTATCTATAGACATGTTTTTAATAGTTATATGCATATTTTGTCATCAAATACTTATTTAGTAGTTCCATAAATCTCTTACACATGCTGAATACTTTTTCATTGATTGGTGTGAGCATCCTTATGTTACCTTGGGGCATTGGTCGCGACTGAGGCATGGTGGTAAAAATATGCCAAAACTGATAAATGTTGATTTTAACATTAGCAGAGAATGGCTGTAATCTAATTTATAGTTTTCATAAGTGAATTGTGAAAACTTGATATTTGTGGACTTATTTAGTGATGGCCATAGCATATGGAAGATTGCAGTTTGGAATATAAAGAAAAAGAAAGAAGCCAGGAGAAAAGGGCAGGATGTAATAGATCTGAATGAAGATTGTCTGATCTTGTGTGGGGGATTGATAAATAAACACAGGGGAGTGAAGGGATGAGTTTCATTATGAATGAAAGGCTGAAATGGGCTGAAAAGCATACTAGAAACTATGACTCAGTGTCGTGTAGGTTATCATGGTTACTATAGAAATGGGTGGTGAAAGTTACATGTTACACTTCATTGAACATTGATAATGGAAAGAACAAAAATGTGTTTGGGCAAAAATGTGTATTCTGAATGAACTCAGTTTGGAGAAAAAAATCAGCTGACGTGAATGGATGGGTGGGAACAAGACAAGAGGATACACACACACAAAAAAAGGTATAGAACCATTCTGATATCCAAGAATGAAACAAAATGATAATTGTTTAGTGAGTTCTTGCTTAGAAAAATCTCTCCTTCAATACGCGGTAAGTCTGTTCACAAATACACATGGCAAAAGAACAAATATACATCCAGATTCATTATTGGTTTGTTTAGGATGAGTGAGAGAATGAAAAAATAAAAGAAATAAGAAAGTTAAAATGATTAGAAAGAAAGTACAAGTCCTGTATGAAAAAGATTACACAATAAATTAATCTTCGAATATAATTAATGAAAAACAGTGATAAAGACGATGAGTAAACTGCTTGGAACAGTATGAAAAGAGTCATGTTACAAAGTGTGAGAATATGCGGAGTTATGCTACTGAAAATTTTAAAAAGATTCTTTGTGGAATGATGAAGTGAAAGAGGCTGTTTGTGAGAAAAAAATGCATTAAGAGAGAATGATAAAAAGTATGTGTAATGTCCACAGAGAGAAAGATAGTTGCAAAGAATCTTGTTAAAGAGAAAGATACAATTAAGGTTAAAAGAAGTGGAGAGAATGCAGAGCAATTTTGACAGAAGTTCAAATATTGTCTTAGAAGTAGATGAAAAGGGCCAAACAAGAAGCCTGTAGCAGAGTAAGTGAAATTAAAAATAAAAATGATGACATGATGTGGGATGAAACTGAAGTGAGGAAAAGCTGGAAGGAACATATTAGAAATCTGTACAAATGATAGCAATATGTCAAAAATAGAATTGAAATGCTATAATTAGGGCCGCTTCTAAGACTAAGCAACCTAGACAGTCACCTAGAGCAGTAAATTTTAGGAAGTGCCAGAGGTGGAAGCACTTCTGAAGTATACAATATGAATATAAAATCTGATAATCTTTCCTCGTCACTTTAGAAATTTTTCTTTCCGTGCTTTTAAAAAACACTCACAAAGTCAGTTGAGTGATACTGAATAGTACACTAACCAAGATGTTCAAGTCATGAAAAAGAAATTATTACTGTACAGCTATGCTCCTCAGGAAAATGAAAATATTACCAAAGCAAAACAATGGCCTAATAGGAAGGTACTGAATGAACAAGTTGCATGACTGTCAACTTATCAAAGTTATATCTGGAGAAACAGGAATGCCCCCACCCCCCCACAGGCGTCCTGTAACCTGAGTGATGTTGAGCTGGCCACGCCCCCCCCGCCATTGACTTTGCTTGTCAGAAAGTTGCAAAAGGTGTCATATGACTCTGGGACACTGTGACTGTCTTAAGTATGAATCAGTTGCCAAGCATCCGAATGTAAATCACATGACCCTGGGGATGCTGCAACAGTCATAAGTGTGAAAAATGGTCATAAGTCACTTTTTTCAATGCCATTGTAACTTCGAACAGTCACTAAGAGAACTGTTGTAGGTTGAGGACCGCCTGTACTTTATCACTTTTTTCCTTTTTGGGGGGAGGTCATCAAGTTTTTGACACCTTGCTAGGTGGCTGGTGATACTTGAATATTGCCATATCCTAAAAGTGGTACAATCTGAAAAGGTTGAAAAGCCCTGATCTAATCAGTGTTGAAAGAAGTAACAGGGCTGTGTATAAGAGTGTGCTTCTGTTCACTTTTCACATATTCAATAAGTTGAATAAATTTTAAGTAATATAACACAGAGGTCCCCAATCTTTTAGGCACCAGGGAGCGGTTCCGTGGAGAGAGGTTTTTCCGTGGACCAGAGATGCGTGGTTTTGTGTGCTGCTTGTATCTTGTGGATGGAGCTTTGCTTGTTTGTGCGGACCAGTTGCTAGCATGCCGCAGCCTGGTACTGGTCCATGGACCAGGGGTTGAGGACCCCTGATGATGATGATGATGATGATGACGACGATGATAATAATAATAATAATAATAGTAATAAAGTTGGAAGGGACCTTGGAAATCATCTAGTCCAACCCCCTACTCAGGCAGGAAAACCCTATACCATTTCAGACAAATGGCTGTCCAGTCTCTTCTTAAAAACTTCCAGTGTTGGTCAGCCATCCTCCATTTTGTAACAAGCAGCCTCATTTTTCTTCTTCTGTGTCTAGATCACTCTTTAAACTGCCAGAATGAAGCCATCTTCTTCGCTTTGTTGTTGACCAAAAATAAGTCATATCTGTACATGTTTCTGGTACCGTAGTAGCCAATGGGCCGGGCTCTGTGTCTCTCCATATTCACACAGTGTGTTATCCGCTAAGAGGCTCCACTTGAGCATATTGGTTTTACACTTAGGCATTTCAATTCTCAACCTATTCAGAGTCCTCCTAGTAGTATAAGGAATCTCAGATCCTTCAGCCATATCCTCCTTTAATTTTATTACTTGCTCGATGGTCTCCTTCTATCTTTTAATTTGATTTTCATTCCTATCTATCTAGCTCCATTCATATCTAAGGGTTGTCTTTATAAATTGTGGACTGTATATATGTAACATTGACCTTATTGTTATACATATGTTTCCTTAAAATATTTGTTTGCATCTCATACCGTTTCTTTGTTGCTAAAGAAGTTTTCGGTCTTCTCTTTTGGGTAGAATTTCCATTTTCTCAAAAAACTTAAGTAGATGTTGCTATAACTGTACTCATATGTACGAGGCCTGGATAATTACTCAGATGAGAATCACAAAGTTGGTAAAACCTTTGTAGCAGATTAAATGATTTTGCCTAATAAATAACTGACAGCAACAAATCACAAAAAGACAAGAGTTAGTTCTGCAAATGTTTTTTTTCTCCTGCTGACAAATGGACAATACTGGGTTTTAGAATTCCACATGCTTCATATATGATACGGATGTGCTTTGGATTCTGTCTCAGTGTTGTATCTTTCTGTTGCTCATTAAAGCATGTGTGAGCCTGAAAAACGTTCCACTACCAGTTAAAATGACCTGTATTAATTGACTTATTCAAACAATGGAAGCCTGAAAAAGATGATTATACTTTAATAAATAGTAGATAGATGCTTAGAGTCCAAAGCACGTTTTCATAATTGTTTTAGTATCATACAATATATATTCCTTTCAGTGTAGCTCAGTACAATCCAGGACTAGCTTCTTGAGTTCTTTCAAGTATCAGTCCAATCTAATTGAGTTTAGACCCTGTTGATATTAAAGCACTTACCCTATTTAATTTTTACTGGATTATGCAGCTAGTGTGTTGAGCTTAAAGCGTAATTTAATTTTGATGTGATATGTGCTATAATGCACTAGGTGTTTTTGGCTGGTACTGATGAATCCTCTGCTATGATACAATTGACTGGGATGCCTTAATGTCACAAAGATGTTGCAGGACAGGAAAAAAATGGTCTCCAGCAGCTACTGGCTGAATTACTTAGGTTATAATAAATTATAAGGGAGATAGGAGGGAAATTGCTGATAGAAGTAGTAGAACTTTAAGAAATGAAAAGAAGGCAGGAAATAAAAAGTAGAAAGCAAGCCAATTGGGGATAGGAGAAAATAGTTTTGAGGGAAAGAAATGAGGATAAGGAAGGAAGATTAAAGAAAATATAGGCAAGAAGACTGGGAGATAAAAGAGGAACAGTGTGTATTGTCAAAGAGCTGAAATGCTGAAGAAGTCTAAAGATAAGATACAATAGGTGCCAGTTGTTCTCCATGAACAAGCCTCTAATGTGTTTCAAAGCCCCTTTGTCTCCTCTCCCCTCTACCAATTTTGCCTTCTGTGTTCCTTTATATTTGGCATCAAAGAATGGATAGACTGCAGGCCATGTTTAGTAGGGCAATAATGCAGGATGTTTTGAAGAATAATAACACATAGGTTTTCACACACACACACACACACACACACACACACACACACACCTTTGATTTGTACAATTACTTGGAGAAGTTTCTTAACTATATAATATTTATTATTAACAAACTGGAGAATTGTTACCTCTTCAAAACGCTTAAAAAAAATACTAACACTGTTTGGTAATAGTAGTCAGGGATGACCCCCCCCCAAACAGGTTGGAATTTTGTGGGGGCTAGGAATTGTCCATCTCTGCATTCAAGATTCTGAATTTTTGTTGCACAGATCATACTATGGATTGGTTTGGGAGTATTAATTATCAGCACTTACACAACTTTATCAGCAATACAAGGGATTCCAACAGTGGAAGTTGTGGAACCAGACAATCTGCCTAGAGAAATAAATAAGGAACAGGACTCTGCTAAAATTTCAGGTATGTGACATTTCTTGGAAAACCATGCTGAAAATGCTGAATAAATTCCATTAGGTATAGTTGCACTCCAATCCATTCATAGGATCACATTGCTGAAACAGTAAAAAAAAAATCATATTTTTAGGAACGATAATGTAATGACTATAATCTCTTTTGTTTTCCTCACAATTGTTTTTAAAATTAACATGTGGGACATACTTTTTCTTGGGAGGCAGATTTTTAGTAGGGAAGGTAATACATGTATATCACCTCCAACCTTTAAATGGTTAAATCCATTTATCCATATAAGCGTTGCTTGAGCAGGGTCCGCAGGATTGTCTGGGACACTACACATCCTCTTCACAACCTGTTTTCCTTGTTACCTTCTGGGAGGAGGCTTCGTGGTATCCGAAGCAGAACGTCCAGATTCAGTCATAGTTTTGTCCCATACGGTATTAACCTTGTGAACTCTCAAGCTTCCTCTTTCCGCTATGTATTCAAGATAAGACAGTGATTAATATTTATATGTATATGTGTGTGTATATATATATATATATATATATATATAAAAAATATATTATATATTTATAAATATATTATATATATATTTATATATAATATAAATAAAATACGATCACCAGGAGAGTTTAGGTATAAAAATATACTTTACTAAAAACCGCCGAGCTTTCGTTGGGAGGCTCCCAACATCATCAGGGCTAAGAAGCCAGTAAACAATGTTTACTGTTTACTGGCTTCTTAGCCCTGATGATGTTGGGAGCCTCCCAACGAAAGCTCGGCGGTTTTCAGTAAAGTATATTTTTATACCTATATTCTCCTGGTGGTCGCAGTTTATTTGTATTATATATATATGTATGTATGTATGTATATGTATATGTATATGTATGGGTGTAGGTATATACATGTGTTGTATATAGCATGTTTATATATGTGTTATGTATGTGTACACTTTTGAGAGCAGGCAACAGAATTTCATTTTTAATATGTGCCAGTGTGCCCACAGTAAAAAAATGACAATAAAGGTTATCTTATCTATCTTATCTAAATATCTATTGAAATATGGCTCTAATCTTTCTTTTTCTTTTTTTGAAAACCCAAGAGCAAATGTGTTGTCATAGTAACTGAAGTTTTATCTTGTTTGTTATATAACAATACAATATTTTAAAATAAATAAGGTATATAAAAGATGACTTGACACCTTCTCTAGTATTTCAACTAATTTTTTTTTGTGATACATCCACACCTACATACATATATACACATACATATACACTATATATATATATATACACACACACACACATACTGTACATACATACATACACTATATATGTTGTATGTATTTATACAATATATACAACATATATAGTGTATGTATGTATATATACACATATACATACATACATACATACATATATACATACTATATATATATATATGTTTTCTGAGGTTTTCGCAGGTGTTTGTATGTAGGTCTTTGGTTGTTCGGGTTTTCTCCCGCGTAAAATTGGAAGTGTCTTGGTGACGTTTCGACGAAGTCCCATTTGTCATCTTCAGGCTGGTGTTTTCAGCTTCGTGCTTCGAGGAGCAATGTGTGGTCTTAGCTTTTTCTTCCTTTTAACTGCCAGTGGGGGTATGAGCAGATTGGGTGGGAGCTTGGCTGTGTTCTGATTGGGTGGAGGTGTGTTCTGATTGGTTAGGGGCTTGGCTGTGCTCTGATTGGCTGGGGGGTTGGCTGTGCTCTGATTGGCTGGGGGGTTGGCTGTGCTCTGATTCCAATTTTACGCAGGAGAAAAGCCGAACAACCAAAGACCTACATATATATATATAGTGATTTTCAATATTTTGGTCAAAAGTAGCAAACAATGTATCAAAACCAGCATTTAGCGGTTATACACACAACAGTTTGATATTTTCAGGTTGATAAAAGAATATAATATGCACATTGTTAATTATGTGCAAACAAAGTATACAAATAAATAATACTGGTAGTTATTCTAGATCATGCTTTACTTATGGTGTAGACTCAAGTCTGAACTTTTTATCTATTTCTTTGGATTAAGAAAGCTTGCTGTGTTGGAAAACAGCAAATCATAGTTTTTCCTTCAGAGAGGGAACTACGGTATGTGAGTGCTCTGCTGCCACTTTTATACACTGATATGCATTTTAGTCCCTAAAGTTTGTTTATCAGCCATATTTCTGGGTTATCACCAGCTAACCATTAAAACAAGCATTTGTCAGTTTTGAAAATGAACAGTGAAGTAAAACTGAAAAAAATTTTTTTAATCTTTCTCACATTACTAATTCCATGCATACATATGTATCAGGCCAAGGAAAACATAGGAGCTCAGATGGGTCAGCGTAGATTTTGTACTATTTAATTGATAATTCAGGCTTACAGATAAATTTATTCAGTTGTTGTTTAGATTAGCAAGGTGAATCAAAGCTTGGTGAAAAATACTCATGGGGTTAGACATATGCTACAAATTAAGAAACATGATGCCTTTGAGCACATGCTCAGTTTAGGCAGTTTGTGATCTAGAAAAACCAAGCCTCGAAGTTCTTTCCTCCCCTGATTTTCCCCCAAGCATTCTTTCATGATATTGAAATTACAAGAAGGAGACACTGTGTTAATGGACAATGCGGCCATACAAAAAGCATTCCATCATTATTATTCCAGCTTGTATAAAGGGAGTGACATCTCTCTAGGAAAATAAATGAATATTTAAAGAAACAAAGTTTCCCAAGGATTACAGAGCAATAGAGACAGGTTATGAATGGAAAAAGATATTTTCCATATTTTCTTTTTCCATATTATTCTATATAATTCTTTCCTCTCCTGGTTTTCTCCCAAACATTCTTTTTCGGTAGTGTAATTTTAAGTGGAAAACATTTTTGAACTGTTCCTATTGTTAGTTGTTTGAGTGTTGGGAACCTCTCCCAATCTACTGTAAATCATCTGGAGATCTATAAATATATAATAGTCAAGCCAGGTTTAGATATATAGCCCCATCTTCCAAATGCTAGTTTAGGAAAAAGAATTAGTGAAACAGAATAGGATTATTGCGTTTTTTCTCTTTTTCTAGCTTTTCTGGAATTCTATTTAAGTAGATCTTAGAGTGATTCCTGATGATGCCAGGGTTTAACAAAATGAAGGGCTGTAACAGGTGGGAAATATCCAAACATATGTCTCTCTATGCTTTAGTGAGGTAATCTGACAGCCACCGAAGATAACATTTAAGGAATCTTTGGTGAAACGTGGAGATCATAAGAAACACACCCAAGGGGAGAACATTGCTTTAAGTCCAGAATAGTTCAGAGAACTAGCATGGACTGCAGAGTATTGTTTTAATGTATTTTGTTAATCTGTCCCTATTAGATATATTAACCATATTCCAAAGCACAGGTGTTGAGGTATTCAAGGCATGGAAGGTTTTCTGGTTGGAAAGATTGTAGCCTTTTTGCAAGTGGGGTCAATGGGCTGTATTCTAGCCATTGAAAGCACAACTCTATTTAAGCCATGCATAAGAAAGTGCAGTCCACTGAAGCCCTCAGCTAGGTATGAACGAAAAATGTCTCCAAAGACCTCAAGCAAAGCGGTGAACTCCATTCTTGAGGCACTCTAAAGGGGTGTCATCCCACAGCCTTAGAAGATCTCCTTGCTACGGTGTCAGAGCCTGCCATCTTTCTTTCACACCTTATAAGGTTATCTTTTAAGGGATGCTTGTGTGCTAATGCACCATCTCCCCACTCTCTGTTGGGAATGATTTTGCAAAAAGAACCTGCTTCCCAGGGAGCTGCATTCTGTCATTCAAATCACGTATGGGGCTTCTGGGTTACTTGGCTGTCACCAGTACCCCCTCTTTCAGCCCACATCTGTTTCTCATTCTTGCACGAGCCTCTTGCGGAAACACATGGCTTTCCTCTTCAGGCAGCATGCAAGGACTCTTTTCCCAGCTTGTTTCTGAATTTGTCCCAGTCTCCCCAACCACCAACAATTTTAATTCGTGTTTGGCTTGTAAAGGCAGTCCTCATCGCTACACTATGCATTTCAGATATCTGCCTTTACCATCCCATCCCATCCACCTCTTGCCCATCAGTAGATGCTAGGGTTTGTTTTTATAGAATTGTGGCTTTTGAGGATGTAGAGCCCCGAATTGTACAGACTTTCATTAAACTCTGCCCCATGGGTTTGGAGATTATGAATATTAGAATGCTGCCCTTTTAGGTGAACACATATTGACCAGAAAATTTCGAATCGGGCTTTTATTAATGACTCTCAAGTGCCCATTACACCCCCATCTGTATCTATAGGTGTTTACTGTCAGCCACTGCTTGGGAAGGTATAAAAAAACCCTTCCAGAGCAAGGAGGCTATTACAGGGCATGCGGATGTTAAGAGGCTGCTAAGCTGCCTTTGAAAGCACATGAAGGAATTATCCATTAAAAAAAAAAAAAAATCTAATTAAGCAATTTCTTTTTTGCTTTTGAAAGATACCATCCCCTTCCCCAGAGGGTCTCCCTGGGTGGATTATGGTTTTTTAATATTTTGCAGCTCCCTGCTTTAAAATGGTTCCTCGGAGCCCTTTTTCTGTTCCATCCCTCAGTGGCTTTCCATATCGAAGGTCTGATTCGCTGTCTCTCTACCTTCTTGGTAGCTAGTCCAGAAATGAAAACAATTTGGTCTCCGTGATTCACCGTTGCCATTTAAAAAAAAAAAGAAAAAAGTCTATCCATTCAGATTTAACATTTTTTGCCTCTGATGAGATGTGGCTGGGTCTTGGTGTCTAGTGTGCGCTGTCAGTCTGTTCCACTTATGGTCATCATGTGCAAAAGCCCACAGTTCTGACATCTGTGTTAACAGGCGAGGGATTTAGAAGAAAACGTAGGGAGGCCTTGCGAGCTTCAAAGGTTACACCTGTAAGAGGCATTTTGGATGCACTTACTTTGTCATTCCTGTCTCGCACGGCCTTCTCCTCCTCTCTCCCACCCCCAGCTTGTTGG